TATCGGTTCGGGGGGGGCAGCTGCACGCCTTGATGGGGTGCGGGTCTTGGGTCCTGTTTTGGGCTCCGGTTTTTCCGCTCGCACTTCTCCTCTTGCCTATTTATTTTAATTGTAATTATTAATTTATTTACCTATTTATTTATTTATTTAGCTGCTCTGGCCGCGTGTCAGGGCCTGGTGCGGGCGGCGGGGGGGGGGGCGGCGGACGTGGCTTTGCTGCTTTGGCTTCGTCCGGTGGGGGGGCGGCGTGGTTCGCTCCGCTCTGGCTTTGTGCTGCCCCTCGGGCTGCTGGGGGGGGAACGGTTGCGCCGGCTGCGGTCTGCTCTTCTTGCGGTATTGCGCCGGGCGCCTTTTCTGCTCTCGGGCTGATTCTGTGCGCGGTGTGTTTCGTTGCGTGCTGTTGGCATCGGTCTTGGTGGGGTGGGGCTGCGCTTTTGGCCGGGGGGGCGTTTTTGGGGGGGTCCCGTGGCGCTCGCGGCCGGTTCGCGGCGGATGCGCGTGGGCCCCGGGCGGGGCCGCCTGAGTGTTTTTCCTGGGTGGTGCGGTCGCGGTGGGTGTTGCGGCCGGTCGCCGGGGCTTGGTGCCGGGGGGCGGGGCGTGTTTCGGTGCTCTGTGGGGCTGGGGCGTTTCGGTCGGCGCCGTGGGGGGGCTGGTGTTCGGCGCCCGGCCCTACTTCGGGGTGGCCGGCTGCCGGCGGGGCCCGCGGACTCGTCCCCGCGGCTCCCCGGGGCGCCGGCATGGCGGTGGCTGGGGGGCTTCTTTGTGGCTGTCTCTCCTCCTACCTTGGTGGGGGTCTGATTTCCGGGGCTGGCCCCTCCTTGGTGCCTTCGCTTCTGGGGTCCCTTTGGGCGCCTGGGGCTTTGGGTCTCCCGGCGCTGGACTCGGTGCTCTGGGGGGTGTGCCTCTCCGGCTCTCCACAACCACTATTGAGCATTTTTTCTATGGTTAAAACTTTACATGCACAAGTTCACCCTCACAAACAACTACAGGTGCTAGGCTTCAGGTACTTAGAGATTCACTTCCAAACAGAAACCCCACATTCATATCTTCAGGTAACACAGAGTACATGTCAGACTTAATATTATTACTTTAGCGATAGTTTCAAGGTGTTTGCTTTATTGTATATTTCGTACCATGTCTTTTGGTTGTGCTGTTCTTTTTTTTTTTTTTCTCATCTCATTGCAGGTGATGAAGCAGACTGAAAATGTTTTGTCATTGTCTCCTTCCTATCTCCTCTTTCTTTCATCTTTTGTCCTTTTTTCTTTTTTCTTTTTCCTTCTTCTTCTTCTGTTTTTCTGCTCTACTTACATTGCAGTGTCCATATGAACTGTAAAACTCCCTGCATAATTATAATAAAGCAATTTATATACATGAAACAAGTGGAGCAGTATGGCAATTGTGATACCGCTACACTTGTGAAAGTAAAATCTGTTGGGCTCCTTTTGGCATCAAGACAATTATTCTTATTGCCACCTTGCCAGACAGGACACTGTGAAAAAAAAAAAAAACAAAAAAAAAAAAAACAGATGTTGCAGGACCCCAGCCGTTCAAGGATTTGAGTTTAAGACCCCTCCTGTGGTAGAAAGGGACTAACAGATGAAACATAGTGGTAGATTGTTTCTTATTGTACTGAAGTTGGTCCAGACTATTTCCTGGTGCATTATTCTATTAATTTGATGAACTGTAGGTTTCCCACTTTAGTTTAAATTACTGTAAACTGATCTTGCTTAACATACCTCTGATACATCAATCAGTCTTCCTGGGGCTGCTCAGTGTAGCAGTGGCAGCAAGAAGGTAGCAGGTTTGATACCCGACACAGGGTCTTTTTTTGAAGGAGAGCGGTGACCTAGTGGTTAGGGCATAGAATCCTGAGGTTCTGAGTTCAAGCCCCACTCCCACAGACTGCCACTCTGGGTCTGCCGATGGCTCTTGGGGCGCCCCGCAATGGCAACCGACTGCTACCCATGGGGATAGGTTAAATGCTGAGGTAAATTTATGGGGAATGTTGACCTAGTGGTTAAGGCAGTGCTCTGAGAAGGTTCCAAGTACCCGGTTCATTCCCCACAGCTTGAGCAAGACCCTTAACCCAACACTGCTCCTCCAGCGCCACACAATGGCAGCCCACTGCTCTGCAAGGGCATGGGTTGAATGCAGAGATACAGGGGAGTGGTGCCCTAGTGGTTAGGGCATAGAGCTCGGAATCCTGAGGTTGTGAGTTCGAAACCCACTCCCACAGACTGCCACTTTGGGTCCCTTAGCAAAGACCCTTAACCCCAAACTGCTCCCTGGACACCGCAAATGGCAGCCCACTGCTCCGCAAGGGGATGGGTTTAATGCACAGAGGGAATTTTTTGCGCTATACTTTAGACAGTTTACTGACAATAAAAAAATTTGAGATTTTATTGTGGTATATTGTGATTTATATAATCTCTACTAAAAGGAGCAGAAGAAAACAAAAACAAATGAGGTGGAATTTAGAAATAGATAAAAATGTTGGCCCTTGTTTTTCTTGAACTAGATAGTTGAAATAGAGGGAGCTACAGGATTTCCCCCAATACCAATTTCTTAAGAACAACTGTATTTTCTTCTTCTCATCATGACTGGATAAATCGTTTTCTTTAACCTAATGGACTTCTGTCGTCCCTGTCAGTGAATACAGTCAACAACAGCCCAAAAATCTTTACTTTGTCGCCATCTGTAGAATCATATAGGAATCTAACAGTCAGGTCGAGGTTTTGTGGTAAGATGGACTTGAGGTGTGAATTTCCTAACAACCACATTTTTATTAAGTACTTTATATAAAAAGTATATTTTCTTAAGCCACTTTCTGCTAAAAGAACTTTAAACTGCAACCATGAAAACTTTTTTTCTACTTCTAAAATTCTCCTTTTGTTAAAAATGTGAATGCAAAAAAATTGTTTAATTAATTGCAAACATTTTGTATGCATCACATTATATAAATGTAGAGAACGTCTGTACTTTTGCTTCATCCATAAAAAGTTTTGTTATGCTAAATAACACATTTTTACTGTACATTTAAACCTTTATGAGAAATTCTAGTCAATTATGTTATTATGCATAGTGTCATAACCGTCCTTTAAATCTCTAGAAACTGTCCCTGTGAAGGTAATAAAGACAAAACAAATAGCTATAACAGAGGACATGGATTAGTGGACTGGGGTCCGCATCCGATCCCACCTGCTGGCTAATCTGGACCCCACCTGATATAAAACATTTATAAATTACCGCATGTTGACGGCAGTGTCTAACCCTGAAATCCCACATCTTCCATCTCCGCCCCGCCCCGCCCCTCTGCACTCCAGACCTCCTTCCCAAAGCAAAGCCTACAGCCTTCGCTGTTTCTCCAATCTTGTTCCGCTCCGACTTCCTCGGAGCTCAAGGAGATCATGCGCAATATTATTATTATTAAATGCAGGCACAAATCATGCGGAAATGAGCGCTGAATTTAATATGATATATTAAAAAATTCCCCACCATCATCCAGCCCGCATATGATCAGTTTCTGCCCAAATATTTTTTTTTTTTTTTTTATTTTTGCTACAGTGATAACTAGGATCATACATAGTTTGTATGAACTATGTTCTCTGCTTCCAAACTCAGCATCTCTTCATCCATGCCTAAGATGAGAAGTGTCTTTTGAAGTTGTGAGAGGCGCTCCTTAGTGTTTTGACTGGATTTGATGAAAATTTTAAGCCTCTTAGTATAAAATAGATATTTTGATCGAGATGAGAAATCTGCTTCCTGGTATGTTGAAGTACCAATAGTTTGCATCCAATAATTTAACAACAAATGCTCTTAGTTTTTGGGAATATATAAGGTCACAAATGAGCCTGGAATGGCTTTAGAATGGCTTTGTCTCCATTCAAACCCAGGTCAAACCTGGGTTTGAATGGCCTTGCAGGGCAGCCTTAAGCCCACTGCTCTCATTAAACCATTAAAAAAAACAAAAACAAAAAAAAACGGTCAGTTCAGGTGTTTTATAAAATATGTGATTCAGGAAATATTCTATATACCAAACTTAACAATTGTTGTTCTCTACTTCAAAAAACACTTTACATTTTAAAATGGAAACATTTTCTATTATTTTTTACATTTTTTTTAATTCAAAAATTCAATGTATAACATAGATGCATAATGCCTCATTTCATTTCAGTGTTAAATTTGGTTTAAAGTAACAGATTTTTTTAGTTTTTTAATGGTTCGTAGTCTATTTAAACGAAATGTGTTTCAGGAGATCTCTCTTAAGATGTTATTGCTTTGATAAGAGGAATTATTCTTTCATGTTTTTTTTTCTGTGATAAAGGAAAACACCGAGAACTATTGGAAACTGATTATGGTATAACTTTTTAAAAAGTGCAGTAAAATTTCATGATTATTTGTCCTTGTTTTTTTGTTTTTGCTTTTTTAAATTTGTGTGGCTATTATACAGAAAAATACAAATATATGAAAAAAACGACTTGGTTCTCACAAAAAAAAAAAAAAAAGGAAGGTGCACTGGCTGCAATCGATGCTCTGTTACCTGTTTTTTGTTTTCAAACACGCATCCTTTTATCCGTCATTACTGCTGGACAGAGACACCTACTTTGGGGCTAAAATTAACCCAACACGTTGATCTGAATCACAAATTGGCCCTCTTATGATCTACATGAGAAAAGCAGGCCTGGGAGGATGTGCAGATGACCTGCTCCACATAGGTCTTCAGATTTAATGAAAGCACAGCCACCTTTGATGTTCTGACAAGGACTGAGAGTACTTTACACTCTGTCTTTGCTTGATCTCATGGGCTCGCTGTGTGCATGGTGCTGTTTATTTTTAGACAATAAGTATAGCCAGATGCATAAACACCAGCTATAGTTTATGTAAGCAGAACACTAATTTTTGTGGATAAATAGTTCTACTTGTCTAATTTAAGCCTTTTCAAAATTGAGGCAAAGCACCAGTTTATGCTCTGCAGTGAGTGTTTCTGTCTGTGTTCACAGCACCCGGCAATGCCATCTTCTTCTTGACATCTTCAACCCGACAGAACATGAGCTCACTGTCAGCGCCAAGAACAGCAAGGACCTGGTGCTCCATCCCAGCGAGTGTCAGAGGTGAGTTTAAAGTCTGCATATCCACCAGAAAAAAATTTGAAAATACCTCAAATAATTCAAAACTCATAGGGGGAAGAAAACAAACAAATTAAGGCTCTCCTTCCCATATTAACATTGTATTGCTATGAATGGACACTATTATACTGAGTAAGTTGTATACACATAAGAAACACTCCTGATCTTCTAAGAACCCAGATAAGGAGCGCTAAAATGGTTGTGCAAAACTAAAGTTGCATGTGTAATTAGTGGGCTTGTTGCTGGTGATCTACTAAGGTTGGTTGTGCAATTGATAACAGATGCAAACAGCCCTTTTAAATGAGGATGTCGCATGTGCTACATGCTTTCATCATGGGGGTTTTGGGAAAGCAGGGTAGATTTATTTTCCCCATTCCAAAACAGCCGTAGTTTGCAACGGCACTGGGCACAGATGGCATTTTTTCAAAACAAAATATTATCTGATATCCCAAATTTTATGACACAAAGGTACATAGTCACAAGATATACCTACACCAATAAGATCTAAAACCAGTCGATTGTGACGATGTAAGGCTCTTTATTTTAAGCACCCTGATAGTGTTTTGTACTATTTTGTACTGTTGTACTGTTTTGTACCAGTAGCACTATTAGCAAGGACGTATACTCATGTGTCTATCAACTTCACAGCGACATCAGAATGCTTCCTTAGCTCTAGCTTTAGTGTTGTCCAATGGTCAAAGGTTTTTTTTTTTTGCCTTAACTCTGTATTGGACTTTTCACGTTTTTTCACAACTACACTGAGAGTTCCACACTCACTCCCTTCAATGCTTCAGCTTGTTGACCAGTTGTACACATTTGCAGTGACGTAATTCCTGGTTCCAGGTGGCGCAGCGGTTACTGCTCATGACCCATGTACAGAGGCCTTAGTCCTCAACATGCCTGACCTGAGTTCAAATCCAACCTGTGGTCCTTTGTTGCATGTCTCTCCCCCTCTCTCATACCCCCTTACCTGTCAGCCTACTGTCAGAAATGCGAACCACTAGTGCCGTTAAAACTCAAAAAAAGTAAAAAAAAAAAAAATGTATTGCTAGTGGTTAGTATTTAAAGATGTGCTCCCAGTATTTTGCAAGTTCTGATGATAATGGTATGTTCTCCACATACATAAAGGCCAGCGATAGACTGCGGGTTCTGTTTTGCTCATGCCACAGATGTAATAATGCAGATCAGCTTTGCCCACATGATCATCTTCACATGTTTTTATTACCCCCGAAGCAGTGGGTGTTAAAATCTACCTCTAAAATGTATTATTAATGATTTGCTTGTTTCAGTTGGAGATGTACCTATGCATCTGTTATAGTTTCAGGATCTGGGCTGATTTTCAAGATCAATTTAGATTGGAAATGTTTTGTTTTGTTCTATATATCTTATGATACAGTGGTTCTATGTCCAATCTGTTAGTCAGTAGAAAATCTAACGGCTCATAAGCAGTCAGCTCTTTCCATTGATAAATGCATTGGTTGTAGTCACCAGTGACTACTTCTTACATTCAATCTATTCTATCAGCAGTCTCTAAATATCAAACGGCTTCTTGTCAGATACCAAACACTAAGTGACTTCGATCAGGATATCTGGTGAAAAACATGTTGACATTCAAAAGTGTAAAATTTGCCATTTGGGTTTTCCTTTTAATTGAAATTGCTCACTGGAGCAATCCCAATACACACACTGGTCACTTTATTAGGTACAACTTTGCATTTCTGGCAATATAGCATTGAGAATCGACATCCTGCTGCTGGTTAACACACCAGGGACCATCATGGCTGTTACCATAAGGTCCCACTTGGTAATTATGTTTGAAACTAAAAAAATGACATTTTTGGAAGAAAAAAACAAACAACAAAATGAAATGCAATGGGCACAAATAAAGAAAGGGGGGTGAGGACATACAAATTTAGGGTAGAGAAAGAGAAAAAAAGAGAGAATAATGGAGGAAAATTACAGAATAACTCCTAGAAGTCTGAAGACTGACCAAGGCAATAGAGGGAGCATCCCATGGACAGAATTAATATAGTTATAAAAACATTGGAAGCAAAACCTATGAAGATTAAAACCTGACTGTTGACACAAGTAGAGACTGAGTGGCTGACTTGGCAGTGACTTGTCAGGATCCTTTATGAAGTCAGTTAGGCAAATAAAAATACATAACCAGTAGCCTAACAATGTCTCCAGTGTACTCCAGAAGGTGAAGATTTGCATTTGTGCTGATAACAATCCAGCAGCAGCTGCTTGGTTTCAGGATGTCAACATAAACTGTTTCTCTGGAGACTTTGTGGAACCTTTGGAGATTTCTGCCACTTTAAATATTCTGAAGGTAAAAACGTGCCACAACTCTGCCGTACCTAACAAAGTGGCCAATGACGTTGTGAAACACTTCTATTCTAAAGGAAAGTTCTGTGTCTACACCTTGAAGATTTCTCTCTCCAGTTCTTTTTCCTGAAAAGAGATCACTCGGGGCAAATTCTTTAAATAACACTTGATAATGTATATGTATTATATAACCATGAGACATGACAACAGATTTTTATAGAAATCATAATCTTACTCAGACTGGATAACTTTTTTTTCCTTCAGTGTCCTGTCTGGCAATGTGGCAATAAGAATAATTGTCATGATGCCAAAAAGAGCCTAATAGGTGGAGCAGTACGGCTATCGCCATAGTGTTCCGCTTGATTTATGCTTATAAATAGCTTTATTATAATTCATTTAGGGAATATTACCGATTATATGGACACTGCAATGTAAGTAGAACAGGAAAGGAAAAACAGAAAAAGGAGAAAGATGAAAGAAAGAGGAGATAAAAGGAAAACAGTGATAAAATGTCTTCAGTCTGCTTCATCACCGGCAAGAGAGATGTAAAAAAAAAGTACAGCACAACCAACAGATATAGTATTAGAGATACAATAAAGTAGCACCTTGGTACTATCACTGAAGTATAATTAATTAATTAATCTGACATGTATACTGTGGTAGCTGGCGATAAGAATATGGGCTTTCTGTGTGGAAGTGAATCTCTAAGTACGTGGAACCAAGCACCTGTAGTTGTTTGTGAGAGTGCCCTTGTGCATGTAAAGTTTATCCAAAGGAAAAATGCTCAATAGTGGTTGTGAAGAGCCAAGGATGCGCCCCTCTAGAGCACGGAGGCAAGCGCTGGGGGACCCAAAGCCCCAGATGTCCAAAGGGATCCCAAGAGCAAAGGCGCAGATCAGAGAAGTTGCTTAGGGTTACAGAAGGCAGCTGCTTACCAGCCAGGCTCACTTCTCGGGAAGTGTCCCCAATTAACAGTTAAAGAAGCATCTTATACAACTCCAGTCTGCCACATCATTACATCATATACGTTTGCAGATGAGAAGACATCCATGACTCCAGCCTTATCAAAATATTTTACTTTGTTCTTAGCTGAAGGACGCGGCTCTCATTCCATTCCCAAATATTTGAAGAATTAAGATTATAACTGTATATCCAGATCGAAGGGCTGGCCTAATTCGATAAACCACTGCGGACAAAAAACATCAGTTCTGACAGGCAACAGGCAACTAATATTAATGTGTAATAAACTCACACATCATCAGTGATAATTATCCTAACATAATGTTTATATTTTTTGTACTTTTATAAATTTATCATTCCAAATCATTAAAAACGTTTCTGAGTTATTAGACTTTTATTTTTACTTATATTTTTACCTGGCTACAATTCTTGCATAAGGCAGCTTAAAGTAGCAAAGCTATCAAAGCACTAAGTCTACCTTTTACAGAATACAAGTCCCATATTCCTCCATGTCCTGTAGATTCTCCTGCAAATCATCTGTCTGAAGAAACTTGATGTTCCACTATGGACACCTAAATTATTTTCATTTTCTCTGCTGTACCATTTTTTCCCCCTCAAATTAGACTTTCAGGTAGATGATTGCTTCTTTTCCTCCAATATGTCTGATAGCTTTCTGTCATTACCTTGGAATCAGTTCACTCAGGTTAACACTTACAAACAACCCTTATATTTTCTGCAATGAATGAAAAAAAAAATCATTTCTCTTTACCTTTAAAACCTTTTTTACCCTCTCTTGGTACTGGTTGGTACATCATGAGTGTAATGTTTAAGTGGCGCTCGGTAGGAGCTTTAATGGCTATATGGGCGTTCATTTTAGTTGAAGAACCCCATGTTTGCACGTCTGTAACCGACAACCCAATTCCAGCTAAAGTGTTTTTCTTTTTTACTTCCTTATTATTCCTTTGTGCAGTTAAAACAAAAGTTAGGCTATGTCTGACCTCGGCTCTGCTTTATCTGAAACACAACTCACTAGCATATTTCCAGAATGTTTTTTAAGTTATCTACAGTCTGATCTTCCTTTAATAACTGTTTTGAATTGCATCCATTTGCAAAGTTCATTTTAATTGTTTCTTTTATACATAAATTGTTTTTGCTTAATTAGGCTCTAGAAGACTCTTATTTTTCTTTTTCTTTTTTACAATCATTGTAAGATTAGCAATAGGAAAAAAACTGTAAAAAAAAGTAATGTTTAGTTTGACAAACTTAGAAAAAGGTAAAAAAAAACAATGTCTGCCCTGTGATGTGGGGTGTTAAACTAATTCAGTTTACTGACAATGGAAATATTTTACGCTTTTCAAATCATATTTTTTTCATATTTAATTTTATGAATTGTTTCTCAGATTACATTGTTTTCACTCCAAATCCAATGCAAACACTCTCCATTGATCTCCAAAACGTTGCTTATGTCCATGCAGAACATTTGAATTTTCCTTGCTCCTAAGTGAAGAGAAATTATCTATAAAACACAATCAGAAAGGGAGATATTTGGGGGAAAAAAGGAAAGATAAAAATAAATGCAAAAATAAAACTTAAAACAGCTGTAACAAGTTACATAATTTGAAAATATTGCCTGGTTCTGCTTGAGGTTTCTTCCTGTTAAAAGGGAGTTTTTCCTCTCCACTGTCGCTACAAGCATG